TTCCCTCCAGCCTTTTCTGTCTTTTCTTAAATACATTTTCACGGAGGCACCACCGTCTTGTCTGAGGGGCCCAGCTGTGCCCTGCTGTCCACTGGAGCTGCCTGGGACCAGCTGTAACTGGCTGTGTCTGGCAAGGGCAGCCCCTGGTCCCCGCAGACAGAGGCCTCTGCAGCCCCGTCTGCCATCACCTGAGCACCAACCCCCAAAACCACTCTGTACTTTCTGTTTTCTTTGAGAAGACACCAGAATTGCTTGGTCAGCAGCCATGCCATCCTCTTTTGGATTAGGCAGGCAGAGTACTCTGGAGAATCTGGCTGGTCTTAAACAGCAAGTTACTGCAGGCAATTGGCAGATATTTTAGCTGGAAGTCAAGACGGTGGGTGACTCTTAAAAGGATTGAGTGGTATTGAAAACCAATGGCTTGGAAGGGATATATGGATCAGAAGCTGGAGGAGGGTTAAGAGGGATCAGTGAAGCCTAGAGTCAAGAGGGGGTAGGACAAGGAGGAGACAAAAGTCTGTAGGAGATCAAGGCTTTCTGCTCCTGCTGCCCCTGGGTCAGGCAATGGGAGCCGTGAAGCACACCTTTGACAGAGGCAGCGACAGCAGCTGCTCAACCTTACCCAACCCTGTCCCCGTCCTCACTGGTGCCAGTGGCAGAATGTGCAGGACATACTTCGGTGTATTATTGAGACACATGACACAATATGGTATTGCTTGAAAGTTTAATCATAATTTGGTCCTAACATTCAGTGCTGATAAATTCAGTAAATATCAGACTGAGCAATGCCATCACTGAACACACAAAAGGTGCAGCATTTCTGTAACAAATTTTGCTCCTAACTGTTTTCATTATGAGGCTTTTACAAAATTAAAGCTACATATTTGTCTCTAAGGAAAGTGTATTTGTTTGTTGCATCCCAAAATAGCTTGGCTTTCAACTGAGTTACAGATAAGTATTTTAGATTTGTGCATAGACTGCATTGAAAATGTAGCTTGAAAAGGGAAGACATCATAAAGCCATGATTATCTGAAAGTAATCACAGTGGAATAATGTATATAACTTCAACTTGGGCAACAGCCTTCGTAGGTTTTGTGGTATTAGAGGCAAGGTAGAAATTTCTAATCTGAAACAACAGGTGCTACTTTGTGTCTGTGTTTGTAACCATACAATATCCAAAGCACATCTGATTGATGTCAGAAGAGGTTTGATCATGACTCATTAGAACTTATTCCTCAAATCTGCTAAGGCATGAATCTTCTTGTTTGTCAAATAGAATTGATTATTTTTCAATTAACTTTTGAAATATGATTTTAACTGTAATTACAAAGTATGGTATGCCTAGCTACCACAGAAAATTTCTCAGGGAAAAGCAGACAAGGAACAAACTAACCCTTGAGGCACATGAAGGCTCTCTTTCAGTTATTTCTACTTCTTAGTAACTGAGATAATACTGGGTAATCATCACTAATAAAAAATGATGCATTTCCGTCAGGTGAGTGAAATTATCCTGATGTAATTAGCTAGTGATCTGGCTTGTGCATGTTTACAGCCATTATCCAATTTGCTAGCAAAGGTTAGTATCTTCTGATATTAGTTATAGTATCAAAGAGAACACACAGCCTGGACAAAGTCTGATTTTTCTTGCAAGTGGCTGACTAAGAGTATGAAGTCATTTTCCAAACGTGAGGCCTAATAGTTTTTGACTAGGCTTATGTAATTAATCATTCATTATGGATAAAAAAGTAATTTAATCTTTTGTTTGCTTTGATACTGAAAACCTATTTGTGCAAACAGATATAAAATTCTGAGCTGCACAATTTGGTATTCTATATTTAAAGTGCATAATAATAAGCTTATGTCATGTGATTTTGTTTTCTGCTCTTTTTCTAACTGGCTGAGAATTTAAAAACAGGACAATAATGAATCGCAAGTAGTAAATGGTCTTTTTACATCAAAGTGCCCTTCTTTACACACACAGCTCTTTGAGCTGTTCTTCCAAGATAATTTTGAACTGAAATCTGTTCATACATGTAATAGTAAGTAATAAAGGATAGCAAAAGAGCATAACCCACAGTCCAAAATGAATACTGGAGAACAGTCCATATGGACTAACTCTGAATTTCCTGGAAGAAGAAATACAGCACTTTTTTCCCTACTTTTCCTTCTTCTTTCTAATACCTTTTAAATTTGTGCTTTCCTGGTACACTTTTCTGCAGCACATCTCATTTTTCATGTGTGAACATAAGTGTAGTAAATAAAATTCAACTTTTGCATCCTATGAGAGGAGAGAAACATACACCAGTTTCCTTTTTTTTTTTTTTTAACCTGTGCCTGTAAGAAGACTGAATTTAGAAACTGAAGACATTGCTTGCAACTTGCAACTAGCAGAGCAGAATTGCATTTGCTGAGCTTGAGGAAGAAAGTTGAAAAAAAACCAGCATCAGTTGTAGGAAAAAAATATTCTTGATATGTTTGGTAACTTCAGGAATGAGTTTATATACTTGACAAATGAGTAGGATGCAGAAATGTCACCAAAAAGGGACTCACCAGGGTCTACTGACTAATCCTTAAATTCTTTAAATTATTTTCTTATTTTATGTGATATTATGTCTACCTGGAATAAAAAAAAAAATTAGGCCCAAAATCAGTGAAACCATTAAGTACTTACTTAAGATAACCATGCGCTTAAATGTTCTTGGCATGTTCTTCACATCTGTAAAACTGATCCAAAGACTGTTGGGATTTGATTTAAGTTATGATAGCACAGGATGAGCAGATATGACATGTATTAATTCTACTGATGACCGAAACCTGCAGAGCTATAGTTCTAGCTCTTCCACATAATTCTGAACTGCAAAGGGAAACTCTATAAATACAAGAGCACTTAATACACTTTGTATATTTGTTTTAAAGGTGCAAACCCTATTACACTAGTTATCAAAATTATCAGATCTCACTTTTTCCTGAGGAAGTAAAGGGAATAAAACGCATCAGCCCCTAACAGGAAATGGGGTTCTCAGTTTACCACCATCCTTCAGAGGTGATAATAATTACTGTCACAGCATCCATAGTTCCTTGGTAATATCTCCATCATAAGGGTCTTAAAATAAAAACTGATTACTTTATGAGCAGCCCACTGCTAGTACTGTTTGGCAGGCAGAGTTATAGACTGTATATAGAAATGGCTGTGTTTTATCAGAGGTCAGATTAGAACCTTAAGATCTATACATTTCAAAACACTTTCTGTAGAGATGATCAGGGAACATTACATGAAAATAGTAATTTTTCATTAAATCATATAGCAATGTGTATAAAGTGTATCTTAAAAATGCATCCACCTAAAGCAGTATTATCAAGTTGAATGTTTTGAGCTGTTTTTAAACCCATTTTCAGATACCATTCTGTTTAATAGTGTGCCTTGAATATTTTATTGAAATATGCCCAAGTCCAAAGAGAAGAACAAAAGCAACTGAATTCAATTTGTCCTTCTTCCATTTTCTCATGTTTTATGCCATCAATCTCTCAAGATCATTTTGGTTGCTAATAACAGGATTGGCAGACACCCTGCTGCATGGCTTATGGAAAGGACATATGTCACCAGCAAACACAGAGCTGGAGTTTCATGAACTCAAATGCATACAGAAAATAAAGTTTCTCTTTATTGTTTTTGTTTCTTATTTGTTGCAGCATCTTCTTGTAACTGCCTGTTTTGCAAATATAATTTTCAAGTTGACAGTATCCTTCTAATTTGGAATTCAGGGGATTTCTAGTATTTAGTTTTGAGTCTGTTGGTTCATTCCTTTCACATTACTAAGACTGATGTGAAAACATGAGTACAGATGAAATAGTTTCTTCAGCTGTGGAAATGTCATAGATGATTGCATCACTATAACAAAACAGAAAGCAAAATGAGAACTATTATTATTATTACATATTGGTGTAGTGCTAAATTTTGATCTAAAGGTATTTTCTGTTCTATTCAATAAATTCTATACAACAGGTTTTGCCAAATATAATTTTTCCCTGTATTACATTAAGTCCTGTTGAATTTGTCATTTAAACAGCTTTTCTGATTGAAACAGGTCCTTGTGCCTGTTGAAGTGAATAATAGAATTTCACTTCACTGGGACAGGACAGAGCATAAACTTCTGAGATGCAAAGTGGTGTGGGGTTTAAAGTTAGGAGCAAAAAGCTGCTATGTATTTTTCTTACTTGGATAGCATTCTTTTGAAGTTGTACTGGGATTTGCTGACATGCTTTTGCTATTTCTTTGAAGTATGTGGACCAGTCTTTATACTTCTATCAATCAACCTCAAATAATTCCACTAGAAACAATACATTAACTTGATAAGGACACCTGCAAGTCAGCTGGTTCTAGCAACATCCTGTCAATTTTATATTAACAGTTGTTTTTATCTCCTGTGCATGAGTCAATATTTGTTAAATTAGTTTTGCAGATTGTGACAGGGAGTATACTTGTTTGCCACCTTGTCTTGATAATTGCATATTGCTTTCTCCTTTATATTTAGGATATGATGCTTCAGCTGTTTCGGGGACTGGATTTTCTGCATTCACATCGTGTGGTGCATCGGGACCTGAAACCCCAAAATATCCTTGTAACCAGCAATGGGCAGATAAAGTTAGCTGACTTTGGCCTTGCACGAATATACAGTTTTCAGATGGCTCTTACCTCAGTGGTAAGTTTTTGGAAGCTTTTGTCTTTCTTTTAATGCAGCAGTGTGCTTTACTCTCTATGTTCCTGGCTTTTTATTCAACATTGTAACGCTGCTTCTAAAACCGTCTCTGCAACTGAAGTTACTTCTGTCTTCAAAAACAATTGCTTTCCAACCAGCACTGAAGTTGTGGTTACTTTGTACAAGTAATCAATTACTGATCACTGGTTCTAAATTAAATCATGACTGTTTACTGAAGGGTAGGTATGTGCTAGTTTTCTGAAACTCCATCAGTCTAGCTTCTGTTGTGCCTATTTTAAGATAAAACTCTTGCTAATCCTCAGATATCTTGCCTGAAAAAAATACACAGATGATACTTGCGAAAATGCCACACTATCATGTCTCTGATTTTCGATCTCTGCGAATATGGGTTTGGTGCTTGCTCCCATATGGTACTGAATGATTCCAAACAGGGCTCTGCTGGAGGTAGCTCAAGTGGACCCGGCAGCCAAAATCACAGCTATTTCCCAAGCACCTCCAGTACCTCTAAGCCTCCTGCCACTGCTGCCCCTCTCCCAGCAGCTCTCCTGGTTGTCCTTGGCTCAGACATGAGCTCGGTCCCAGAAGGTCTGGCCCTCTACTGCGTTAATGCTGGTAGAGAGGCCCTGCCAACTCCTTGCTTTTTGACCCCGTTTCCGTGCTTACTCACCCTGTCCCCAGAATCAGCTGCTGTTAGCTTGGCACAGCATATCTGAAGTGTATTGAAGAGTAACCATGCTGCATGCATGTTGAGTGTCATTTGTTTTGTTGCCTGTTCATTAATTTTTTTGTTTCCATTTTTTATTCTGAGTATCACAACTGTCCCGTGGCAGTATCACTTATGCTAAAGACAGGAAAGGGAGAACTGCTGAGGAAAGAAACTGAAAGGAGTCAGCTTTGCATTTTACATTGTATTGTAGAAATTAACCTGGCTCACATTGATAAAAAGCAATCCATTGTTATTATTAGTTACTGTTAAGAGTCTTCCCATCATTGTGTGATGTAAGTATGACATCCTAGGTTCTGGCTTCAGTGTGAATGAAGGCAGGAAACAACAGAAAATTATATCATTATCTTGCTAAACATAGTATCCTCATCATGGAAAGCATATGTAAACTTGTGTTTTGGGGCTGGTTTTTTTAATTGTCTGTAGAATGTAACCTAATCCAAAGCTGAAAGAATCTCTCTGCTAAGGTCAGTGAGGATTGCTCATGTTCTAACTCAAAACAGAGCTTTGAAGAAAAGGAGAGAAAGGTTGTTCCTGAATTCCTGTGATTTTTCATTTCCCATTTATCAATCAGTAACAGCTCCAATGAGTATTTCTGTTGATTCATAAAATTCTTTAAGCTAAAATTGCAGAGTGTTGTAAGACTTCCAGCAGGGCATTTTTTAAAAGTTCTGCATGAAATGAGGGAAAAAATTGCCCATGATCATGTAGCATACATAGGAAGGAAGGTCAAAAGACCCAGAAATAGAGTGCATCTGCTGAAGGAAAAATGTGCCAAGACCTGCTTGTAAGAGAACACTGCCAGAATTGCTATGTGAAGGATATACCTATGCTCAAGTATCTAATACTTGCATGCTAGAAACCCTGTTTCAAAACCCATTAGCTAGTACTCTTAGCACTGCTGTGAACAAGACTTCAAACTAAGGGATTGTTCACACGCAAGTTTGTACTATGTTCGCGTAAGCATTCAATTGTCATCACAGTTGTGTTAAAGAATATTAAAATAATTGAATTATTCAGTGACCAATGACAAATAAAGTATATGGATATAGGCATGAATAATGGCTTTCACACCTAGAACTTAGTGTATCATTATTTTCTTATTAAAAAACCCATGGCTTTTTAAAGTTAAAAATTTATTGATTTTAAAACACTTAGTGTTTAACACCTTCAAAATCAACTTTTGTCTGGGTATGTGGAAACTTATAGGGGAGTGTTGCTTACAATGTATGGTTTTAAATGTCAGTCTTCATTGCTCCTACAGACTGAGTGCTGGTTAGAAACTTGTACTGAATGTGTATTAGCTGACACAGACCATCAGTTTTCCTTTTCTGAATGTAACTTTTACCTTTGGCTAGCTGCTTTGGTGTGTGAATTCTTTTTTTTTTTCCCCCTCGATTAAAACTCAGTACAGGAAACAAAACTTTTTTTTTAAAAAAAACCTCTTCTGTTTTTTAAACATAAAGATATTCTTGACTTTACGATTCCCAAAATCTGCTAAATTGAAGTTCTTCACCAGGCAATCACTAAACTTTCATTGACTTAAGCAGGACCAGCTTTGTTTTGAACTGTTTGCACAAAAAAATGTTGTATTATAAAAGACAGCATGTGTCTATGCATATATCAATTAATAAAAGTCCTAGCTTGCAAGGTTTTGCTGAAGACTTATACTGAAAAGTGATAGTGCAGACAGCCCAGTGATAAAAGGCACATTGCATGCACTATCATTGTGATCAATACAAGGGCTCTGCAGCATTTCCTTCAGAAGAGAAGCATACTGCAAGATAAACTACAAGAATCATCTTTTGAAGTATCACATCATTCCCAAGATGCATCCTTATTCATTGCTCACAAAGAAACTCTTCAGATGGGACAAAAGGAGCTTGCCATGAAAGTAATACAGTAAAAACTGATCCAACCCAAGTACTCTGGGTACTGCAAATGATAACTTCAAAGCAGTCTCTCTCTAATAGCTGGTTATTTCCACAGTGCTAGAGAATCATAGAATCACAGAATAGTTTGGGTTGAAAGGGACCTTAAAGATCATCTAGTTCCTACCCCCCTGCCATGAGCAAGGACACCTTCTACTAGACCAGGTTGCTTAAAGCCTCATCCAACCTGGCCTTGAACATTTCCAGGGAGGGGGCATCAACAACTTCCTTGGGCAACCTGTAAGGGTCCTAATATCTGATCTGAATCTGCTCTCTACCAGTTTAAAGCCATTTCCCCTTGTT